GTTGTGCAAACGGTTAAGCGATCGAGTACTAGCTGAAAAGTTGGCAGTTGGAACCTGCCCAGAGGCACGTTGGGAAACAGGCCTGCCATCTGCTTCTGAAAGGTTACAGCCTTGAAAACCCCATGGAACAGTTCTACTCTGCACATGGGGTCGCCAAGTGTTGGAACAGCCTTTACTGCAACTAGCAACAACCAACAGACACCCTCTAAAAAGTGTTCTTGTGGGCTCTAGGCTTCTGTTTTTTGGTGTGTGTGAGTGTGTGTGTGTTTGAGTTGGAATCAACTCCACCACATCAGCTTTTTTTGGGGGGTAGGGGTGGGAAGGTTATCAAAGTTAGCGCTGGGGCTGCTTGTTTTCTGGTATTCTCACAAGTGGAAGATTCTTTCATAAATTGAGTTTCAAACGGTTCCCATATTATTTCCTTCAATTTAACTAAACTGGTAGAAGTCGAAAAGAGAACTTTAACGTTACATATGTATTTATTATTGTTGTCACGATTTGTGGCTTGAACTGCCTTAGATCACACAGGTAGTAAAATGATAGGTGGAGGTCCAACTACTGCCCTGAACAACTTACTTAAACTCTCAGCCCTGATGGTCCTGCTCCTTTACCAACTGACTATCATCCAGCAAGCCTTCCTAAAGACTTTTTTCCAGCGAAAGTTTCCACTAGTTTGCTCTGGCCTACCACTAACAGACCTCAGAAAAATGTAGAAGTCCTAAATAAGGGTTTTTGTTTTTTTGCAGAGGATGCCAAGACCAAGGAACAGTCCTCATCCTAGCTGGCCACTGATTGGACAACCCTGGGCCAGACTTTTCCTCAGACTAGCCCAGCGCCACCTAAGGAGTCGCGAGTTCTCAGGTTACCTCTTGAAGTGTGTATTCTCTTCAGTTCTCGCTCCTTTGCTTCAATCTCACCTTCTCCCGCCCCGCCCCTCTAGACCGGCTGGAATTTCCTCCATCACACTCCTTGGGGGCGTCATGTCAGTCTGCTTTATTTGCCTCTTCAGTGTTTGCTCCTGTCACTCTTTGTCTGGTCACTTATTAGGTAGGTCTCTGCCTTAGCCGGAGAAG